AAAGTATAAATTGACAAGAAGTCTGCACTCTAATACAAAGTAGTAACACATTATACTAGTTCACTAACAAATCACAGAAGCAGCACTTTATATTAAAGCCTAGATACCCAAAGACTTAATACCCCGATTTTATTCCATTACAATGATATGCAAATATGATATTGCATGTAGGGCGTAGACAATTAATCTTGAAATATGATTAAAACACAATCTCCATCATGGATAAACCTCAATGAGAGATCGTACACCCAATATAGGGAGTATCTTATATCCATTGAAACCAGCTTCGAAGAACAACTTAGCCCATTCTTCCTCATTCCTCTCCTTTCCAGTAACCAACACCATCATCATCATGTCAAAGAAAAGCTGTGTTTCAATCGACTCCTTGTCTCCTTCATTCATCCTCACCATATCTATTATGATAACTTTCCCACCTTTTCCATTCTTCTTTATTGCTTCTTTGCAGCGATTAAGTATTTTCACACATTCCTCATCACTCCAGTCATGTAGAATCCACTGCTTGCCACAAAAAACATAAGTTTAAATTGAGTGGTTAAATAATGTAACTACTGTTGTTGATTTGAAGGTTTTTGGTGTGTTGAATACATACCTTCAATAAAAATGCATCTGCTGGTGGAATCGCTTCAAACATGTCTCCTCCAACAAATTTCAAGTTTTTTATGTCCTCCAAGCCAGCCACAACGTGAGGAAGATCAAATACAGTGCAATCCAATTGTGGAAATGCATCAGCAATGGCCTTGGCTAGAGTTCCAGTCCCGCCTCCTATGTCCACCAATGAGTTTAATCCCTCAAATACCTTTCTATTCTTGTTGTTGACTAGCACTTTGCCAACCAATTGAGAATCACTACCCATTCCATTGTTGAAGAAGTGGTTTAAATTTGGGTCACAGTTAGCACAGCCCCAAAGTGTGGTTCCATGCTGTGTATAAAAAGGGTTGATGTCGTCATTTTGGAACCAAGAGGCTAAACGATACCAAGGCTTGGTCAACATGGGGTCAAGCATCGCATTCATGAAAGGGTTTACACTCATGGGTTCATTCTTCAAGAAGAGGCGAGAAGCACTGGTGAGAGAA